ACCCCCAATATATTCCCCGACCACTCACAGGGTAAAAAGCCAAAGAAAAAATGTAGATAAAAATAAATAACAATATATTATAGCCTATACAATTAAGCACTACGGTGGAATGATGTTCACATAATGTGGCGAAAATGTAGACAACATCCTTGACATGTTGATAAAACACCTCCAAGTTCTGGTGTCGTTCACGAGAAAAAGAACCCCAAAACAACAAAAAGTGAATCTTGCGTAAGCCGGTTCCCATTGCTCGTGGGCTGTGTCAGGGGAAGCAATCGTTCATATAACAAGCCAGCGTTTTGGGGTACCATTGGTTCTGTCCCTTTATTATATTAGCACTATGACAGCTTCAGAATAGATGTCCCTTTCGTTACCAATACAAAAAAAAATCAACAAAGCGTATGTTAGACACACTACCTTTCTTTAAAACAAACACTCGGAATCAATGAACTTGCAGGTATGGCCAAAAAGTAATTGTTATGATCAAGTCTCACTGTTCATGTATATTTTCTTTGAATTAAAACACATACATACAAACAAAATATGTACAAAACAAAACGATTTACACGTCTAGTTTATTTTGCAATATTATGTGCGCTAGACAAGACTGTTTGATGTAAAAACACTTTAGCTTTTAGTGTTAGAAAGAGTCTTATGGCATTTGCAACACAATAAGGCCGTGTAAGTGCCAAGGATTAGTGGTGTTACAAGCAAGAGAGTAACAAACACAAAAGAGAATGAGGAGAGATTTATTTAAGAAAGATAGATGCTTGATTGGAAAAAAGAAGCAAACCACACCAGAGCACACACCAACTACAAACAAAAATACTTTTCTGCAAAAAAAATACAAAAGCTCAATGTGAGTGTTCAGGTTGTCAGCCGAGCTTTGGAGTGTGGAAATGCCTCAATATGAGCAAAAAGTTTATTTTTAGAAAGAGTTTTACAGTACTTGCAACACAATAAGGTCACATAAGTGCTGAAGATTAGAGATGTTACAAGAGAGTAAGAAACATAAAAAAGAAGGAGGAGAGATCTGGACCACAGATGTTTGATAGGAAAGAAGGAGCAAACCACACCAGAGCACCCGCAAACCACCCACATAAGCAAGTAGGCTTGGCGGAGAAGACCAGAAGTCGCAAAGCCTGGTACAGTAGTTCAAAGATTCACAACATCAGTTTGAGAAAAAATAAGCACATCGACCCAACAATGATCCTCTATATAGTGCAGTGAAGAAGCAAGAGACAGACAGACAGACAGAAACAACACAGGGAGAGTAAAGAAGTAGAATCTACCCATGACGCCCTCCAACCACCCACGCAAAGACTGAATCAGTAACTTTGAACAGATTAGTAACAGTGAGCGGAAACACCCTGAGAGAGGTCACCCAGCCAGGCATGTCCCGACGATAAGCTGAACTCTAGAGTAATGACTATTGGTCAGACGAACTCTGGAGAAATGACCGTCGGTCAGAATGAACAAAGGAGTAATGACCCCCCAGTCAGCTGAACTCTGGAGTAATGATCGACATTCAGCTGAACTCTGTAGTATTGACTGGCAGTCAGAACAAACTCTGGAGTAATGTCCGGCAGTCAAAATAAACTCTGGAGCAATGACCGGCCGTCCGGTCAGCTGAACTCTGAAGTAATGACCGGTGGTCAAATGAACTCTGGAGTAATGACCCCCCCCGTCAGCTGAACTCTGGAGTAATGACCGGCGGTCAGCTGAACTCTGAAGTAATGACCGGCGGTCAGATGAACTCTGGAGTAATGACCCCCCGGTCAGCTGAACTCTGGAGTAATGACCCCCCAGTAGGATGAACTCTGAAGTAATGACCGTCGGTAGGCTGAACTCTGGAGCAATGACCGGCGTCCAGACAGCTGAACTCTGGAGTAATGACCCCCTGGTCAGCTGAACTCTGGAGTAATGACCGTAGGTCAGCTGAACTCTGGAGTAATGACCGGTGGTCAGCTGAACTCTGGAGTAATGACCGGCGGTCAGATGAACTCTGAAGAGTGGATGGATGACGAGCAGTCAACTGAACTCTGGAGCGTGGAGTAATGACCATCGGTCAACTTCACTCTGAAGTAATGACCATCGGTCAACTTAACTCTGGAGTAATGACCGTCGGTCAGCTGAACTCTGGAGTGTGGAAGTCAAGGAGGATGGGCCGGGTGTGGATGACAGGTGGTTGGCGGGCGCGGTACAGCAGTTTGAAGACGCCCGTGCCCAGGCTCATGGGGATGCCCATGATGATGCACTCGCTGACCCCACAGATGGCGTCACGCTGCCCGAAGTAGGCCGCCTGTGGAAATACATGGACAAAAAAAGAAGGTACAGTTTGCCACACACTCATAAGTCCTACACACACACAATGGCATGATACAGTTTGTTTGTTTTAGTAAAGGATTTAAGGTGCTCGCAACTGCATGAATTCAGATGAGCGCCAAGGGGTGGATGTCAATCGAGTCCTTACAGGGAATCAGACTTACTCTGTTCACCTCTCTAGCTTCAATAGCACAAAGTCTGCTTCGACTATCAAGGCACCCCGGAAATAGCGGGTCACAAGAGTGTGACAATCATACAAAAGAAGTAGAGGCAAAATGACAATAGTAAAGATTAGGAAAGAAAAAGCAGCAGTTCCCAGTTGCAGTTCAGGCACAGTTATGAGCATGACATTGATGAATCAGCCCATTTTCAATTACAATTCTATTGTGCATAAGAACAAGGATGTTAATGTCCCTCAATTTCGGAATGGCCTAAAGACACTTCAGTCAGTAGCATCGCCCCGGGGGGGGTAATGATACAGTTTGCCACAAACTTAAGTCCTACAAACACTACACACAAAGGCATGGTACAGTTTTACAAACCGCTGGTACATTTTAAGATAGATGCACGAGGATTAGTAGCCTAAGAGTTATGTCCTTGGTTCTACTGCAAAAGAACCTGTTCGATTCTGGGCTCAGGTTTACCAAAGTACATAACTTTATCTTGCCCCCCCCCCCCCGAGGGGAAAAATAGAAGATGACAAAGACAGATTTAACACGTGATATGGCTGGATTCTGAGAGTCAGCTCCCCCTCCCATCTCCCTCTATATGAGACTGAGACAGAGAGAAAGAGAAGGAGACAGAGAGAAAGAGAAGGAGGCAGAGAGAAAGAGAGAGGCACAGAGAGAGACACACACAGGAGGGGAGATAAGGACGATGGATGTTTGATAGGAAAGAAGATATAAACCACACCAGAGCACCTGCCAACCACCCATATATGAGATTGAGACAGGGAGAAAGAGAGAGAGGCAGAGAGAAAGAGAGAGGCACAGAGAGAGAGAGAGAGAGAGAGAGACAACAAGGTAGATAGAGAGAAAGAGAAAGACAAATATACAGACAGATTGGGACACACCTACATAGAAACCCAGAAAGAGACCCTGGTTTTTTTTATTTTAGTTTAAGTAGAGGTTTTACGGCGCTTGCAATGGCATAAGGTCATATGAGCGCCAGAAGATTAGAGGTGTTACAAGAGAGTAACAAACATAAAAAAGAAGGAGGGGAGATAAGGACGATGGATGTTTGATAGGAAATAAGAAGCAAACCACACCAGGGCACCCGCCAACCCCACACAGAAAGAGCTTGAGAGAGGGAGAAAGAGAGAGAGGCAAACAGAAAGAGAGAGGCTCAGAGAAAGAGAGAGAGAGAGAGAGAGGGTCACACAGACAACAAGGTAGATAGAGAGAAAAAGGAAGAAAAATACAGAGACAGATCGGGATACAGAGAAACCCAGAAAGAGAGCCAAAGATAACACTACTACACAGAGCCACAAGTCTCACCTGGAAGAGATGCTCGGCCGTCTTCTCAAACGAGGCCAACATGAGCACCGACTCCTTCATCTTGGCCAGGCCAAAGCGCGTGATGCCCAGAACCTCGCCGCGGTACGTCATCAGGTCGGCCAGGAGCATGGTATGCCGCGCGTCGATGCTCATGCCGTGGCCCTGCATGGTGCCCGTGATCTCCTGCATGATGGTGACGCGCGCCGCCTCGATGCCCAGCGTGCGCCACACCTCAAACGTGTTGTTGGAGCGCGCGCGCGAGCCGTCCACGCCCTGCGCCCCCATCACCCCCCCGAGGTTGTCCCCCTCGATGAGCAGCTTGTAGACGCCCTGGTCCTCGTGGATGACGGCGCGGTTCACCGACGGGATCCCTATGATGGTCACGCCGCCCAGCGACTTCTTCAGCTCCTGCAGCCGGTAGTAGACGGAGACCTTGGACGAGGCGGTGGAAGACACCGACAGCACCGCATCGCTGTGCACCTTGATGTCCGGGGCTCGGACCTTCAGCTTGGACGCCAGGATGGACTGGGCGATGGAGTGCACGCTCACCTCCAGTTTAAGCAGACGGATGCGATCCACGTCCAGCTTGATGAGGATGAAACAGTCGTCCGGCAGATAGACCTCTTCAAGGTACTCCGACACTTCCCCGAGACTTGTGCGCTCGATGCGACCTTTGACCCTGTCAAGTGGTTTGAGAGAAAAAGAGAAGGAATAAAATTTTGGGGTATTTTTCGTTTGTTTTATGTTCTTTCAGGTTGATATCCGTTCATAGTAAACAGAACTAATTAACAAAAACTATCACATTCTATAAGAAATACGGGAAAACCTTTCACTTTGCCAAATGGATTGAGAGAAAAAAAGAAAGAAGCTTAGTTTAGTTTTAGTAAGGGTTCTACCACGCTCGCAACCGCATAAGGTCAAATGAACACGCAAAACACAAGTTGCATTTGCAACAGTTCACTGCATGGCTCGGCTGGGATCAAAGATCGGATTTTAAATGTTAAAAAAACTTCAGATAAAATAACAATCTAAAAATGATAAACAGCTTAAAATTTTAAAAAATGCATTTACAGTTTTCCGTAAAGACCAAAGGCCTTTATAAAATCAAGGATTCTGTTGGGATCAACGACGGAAAAAAGAGCTTGTGATTTTTTGCATAAAAAATTTTCCTTCGGGTCTCTCCGAAGTCTAGACATTTTGTTACAATGTGTCTAATGGTAAAATCCGTGTCTCATCCGACACAGAATGGCTTATCTCTGAGAAGGAGGCATTTTTTGTCAGGAACATGTTCACACCTCTCCACTCCCTCCTCCTCTTCACCCCTCTCCACACTCTTCAGTCCCCCCACCCCTCCACTCCTCTTCTCCTCACTCCACACCCTTCACTCCCCCCACCCCTCTCCTCCCCCCTCCCCCACACACACTATCCACCCCCCCCCTCTCCTCTACCCCACACCCCCCCTCTCCTCTACCCCACACACCCCCCTCCCCCCTCACCGTCTGGCCAACTCAGGGTCTCTTGAGTCCTCCAGCTCGGCTGTGATGATGGGCGTGGAGATGGACTTGCTGGCGTTGATGATCTCCTTGATGCGCGGCACGCCCTGCGTGATGTTCATGCTGGCCACGCCAGCGAAGTGGAACGTCTTCAAGGTCATCTGGGTGCCGGGCTCCCCGATGGACTGGGCACACACTGCCCCCACCTACGGAGGAAAGGATCGAGACGTAGTTTAAGTGAAAGGTTTTACAGCTGTCGCAACTGCATAAAGTCATACGTTGTTTTAGTTTTAGTAAGAGTTTTATGGCACTTCCAACACAGTAAGGTGATATAAATGCCGAAGATTAGAGGTGTTACCAGAGAGTAACAAACACAAAACAGAAGGAGGGGAGATCAGGACGATAGATGTTTGATAGGAAAGAAGGGGCAAACCACACCAGCGCAGCACTCGCCAACCACCCACAGGATCAAGATGTCGTGGTTGCTGAGTTGAAGTTGATGGAGAGTAACCGTGGTTAATGCCCACAATTTTATATGGAACATGCAATAATAATAATAATAATAATAATAATAAAAATAACTGAATTTATTTGGCACATATCTATGCTCACAAAATGCTCTATGTGCTTTACAAGCATTATTACCAAGGCAAAAAGACACAGAGAGAGAGAGAGAGAGAGAGAGAGAGAGAGAGAGAGAGAGACAGAGAGAGAGAGAGAGAGAGAGAGAGAGAGAGAGAGAGAGAGAGAGAGAGAGAGAGAGAGAGAGGGGGGGGGGAGAGAGAGAGAAAGAGAGAGGGAGAGGGAGGGAGAGAGAGAGAGAGAGAGAGAGAGAGAAAAGAGAGAGACAGACAGACAGACAGACAGACAGAGACAGTAAAAGAATGGCAGATGACAGAGAGAATCCATCCACACTGACCGCCTCTCCTGGCTCCATGAGCGCTCGGTTGTACTTGTTGAGGCAGACCTCCATGAACCGACCCACCATGGACGTGGTCAGTCGCTCCAACTGCAGCAGAACCGGGCTGGACTCGGCTAGAGCCTCCACCTGGAACCTCTGACGCAGCTACACGGAGAGAGAGAGAGAGAGAGAGAGAACATAGCAGTTGTTAGTTCACTCGTTTGTTTCTTTGTGAGTGGGTAAAGAGAAGCCCACGTGGGACGCTCAATGTTAAAAACAATCAGGAATCGACAAATGCAGTTTTTGGGACATATAAATAGACATAAGGGTCTCGAACATCTAGTTCTCACTGGCAAAAATTGAGGGCAAGCGAGGCAGGGGTAGGCCCAGAACAACATACTTAGGGAACCTAAACAAATGGGTAACAGGGAAAGATCGGGGAAACGTAGCTTTTTTGAGAGCATCCGAGCAAAGGAATGAATGGAGAACCATGATCGCCCATGTCTGTCGCAGATCTGGCACTTGATGACGATGATGATGAAAGAGAAGCAAAATTGTTTTCACCAAAAAGAAGACAAATGAACAGGCTTTAAGATGATACCAATAACCCCATATGCCAAAAAATTGACGAGCTCCTGATTCCACTGCGTCGTGACACAAATTCCCCCCATGTGATGAAGCACATCATGACTGAGGACATCAACAACATACGGCGGCGTGTAGGCAGTTACATCCACATTTTCTTTAATTTCAGTTAGTTTGTTTTAGTAGAGGTTTTTACTGCGCTCGCAACTGCATAAGGTCATATGAGCGCCAAAGGGTGGATGTCAACAGAAAAGTCCTTACAGGGAATCAGGCTTACTCTGGTCACCTCTCTAGCTTCGACTATCAAGGCACCCCGCAAATAGCGGGTCACAAGAGTGTGACAAACATACAAAATAAATAGAGGAAAAAAATGACGGTAGAAAGGATAAGAAAAGAAAAAGCAGCACTTCCCTGTTGCAGATCAGGCACAGTTATGAGCATGACATTGATGAAACAGCCCATTTACAATTACAATTTTACTATGAATAAGAACATGGTTAACGTCCCCCCTTTGGGAATGGCCTAAAGACACTTCAGTGAGTAGCGCCGCCCTATGGGTTAGTTTTAGTAAGAGTTTTACGGTTCTTGCAACACAATAAGGTTATACAAGAGCCACAGATTAGAGGTGTTACAAGAGAGTAACAAACACAAAAAAAAGAGGAGAGATGAAGACAATAGCTGTTTAATAGGAAAGATGGAGCAAACCACACCAGAGCACCCGCCAACCACGAACATCCACATTTTCTCAGGGGACCAACTTTGAACTGCAGAAAAACAGGGGAAAAAAAAGCTCTAACGACAGACAATACCACAGCCCCCATCCCTATCAACACAACAATAGTGTGGTTAGTGAGTGGTTGGCGGGTGCTCTGCTGTGATTTGCTCATTCGTTTCTATCAAACTCCTATCCTTCTTAACTCTCATTTGTGTGTGTGTGTGTGTGTGTGTGTGTGTGTGTGTGTGTGTGTGAGAGTGAGTATGTTACTCTCTTGTAACGCCTCTAATCTTCAGCATTTATATGACCTAATTGTGTTGGTAGAAATAAAACTAAAACGAAAGTGTCGTGACAATTTGGAAAAAAAACCGCGAGCGACACACACATAATATACGACATACTTCGTTGATCTTTTTGGCGGTGTTGTAGAAGAATTCAGTGAGATCCGTCTTGAAACTTTTGTGGACGGCCGTCCAGGACGCTGTCTCCAGAACATCTTTCACTTGGGTCAAGGTCTGCGACGATGATAAAATAAATGATAATAATGGATTGCATTTATATTACCCATATCCACTTGTGCAATGCCCTATGCGCTTAACATGAAACATATTAAGGAATTACAAATCAATCTTAGAGGCACATAGTATTACATACGCGTGCACACGATACTCACGCACGCACGCACCCACACACACATATACACATACATACAAACTCACGACGATCTACAACTTGGATGGATTCTGTCTAATCAAAATATGATGAAAATAGAAATGAAAAAATGCTTCTAGTTTTTTCTTTTAAATTTCTAGATTTTCTGCTTCTCCGGTAGTTTTTGGAAGCCTATTCCAAACAAGTGGGGCAAAATATGAAAAAGAGATGAACAAACAAAGCAATGTACGGTTAGGCTGAAACAGACATGACCCCTAACCCCAGCCCAGACCTCAATCGTATCCACAATAATTAAATGTCACGACGCAGTGGAATCAGGCGCTCGTCAATTTTTCGGCATATGGAGTTATTGGTATGATCATAAAGGTTGTTCATTGGCCTTGCTTTCGATGAAGAAAATATCCATTTATCTAGAATAGAAGTCGAGATATTTGCCATTGAAAAAGGTGGGGTCGCCTGGTTTCAGAGGTAAAATTAGAAAATGGCCGTCAAATTTTGGTGACTTCCATGGCTAAAGAGTCCTTGGAAACTGCAAAGTTAAATTTTATTTATTGTGCATATAATCAATAATCAACGTTTTCCCATAAAATCCACATATAAGTGTTTTTGAAAGGACCTACAAGGTACTGAGCCAAAAATAAAAATAGATGTTTATCTGCTTCAGTAAAACTTTTACGGCACTTGACGTACAATTAGATCGTATAAGTGCCACAGATTATACGTTTTTACAAGAGAGTAACAAACACAAAAAAGAAGGAGGAGAGAAAAGGACAATAGATCTCTAATAGGAAAGAAGATGCAAACAACACCAGAGAACTCGCTAACCACCCACACATACTTTGGAACTGCACCTCAGAAACATTTAGTTTCAAAATCTGAGTATTTTTAAGATTTGGGGAAGAGGAAAGAGAAACACATAAACATATGAAAAGTTGTTTAGGCAGCAGTACTAGAAGAAAGGAAGACATACAGACAAAAACAACAGATGGCAAATGAAGAAGGACCTGCCTGCCTCCAGTAGGACCCTCCAACCACCCACTCTCAGAGTTTCCACATTTTCTTCCCAGTAAATTTTTTATTTAAAGTTTTAGTAAGCCTTTACAGTGCTTGCAACTGCATAAGGTCATATGAGCGCCAAGGGGTGGATGTCAACAGAGAAGTCCAAACCGGGAATCAGGCTTACTATGCTCACCTCTCTAGTTTCAATAGCACAAAGTCTGCTTTGACTATCAAGGCACCCGAAAATAGTAGTTCACAAGAGAGAGACAACAAAAGAAGTAGATGCAAAATGACGATAGTAAGGATGAGGAAAGAAAAAGCGGCAGTTCCCCCTATACTGTTCCGGCACAGTATGAGCATGACATTGATAAATCACCCCATTTACAATTCTACTGTGCATAAGAACATGTTAATATCCCACCCTTGGGAATGGCTAAAGACACTTCAGTCAGTAGCACTGCCCTGGGGGGGGGGAGGGGGGTCCCCAGTAAATGCCGACACAACTCACCTGCTCTCCGTTCAGGCTGGGCTCATCCCTACACTCTGCGGCCATGATGGATTTGATGTGGTTAAGGAGGCGGCTAAAGTCCACCGGCTTCTCGTTGCCTTCCATGTCGGCAGGGTCAAGGCCATCTTCTCCATACTCAAACTGGACAACCTGGGGGGCAGAATGGTTTGTTAGTTTTAGTAGAGGTACAGCGCTCGCAACTACATAAGGCCATATGAGCACTAGAAGATTAGAGGTGTTACAAGAGAGTAACAAACATAAAAAAGAAGAAGGGGAGATAAGGACGATAGACATTTGATAGGAAAGAAGAAGCAAACCACACCAGAGAACCCGTCAACCAGTAAACAAAAACATATTCAAATAAAAAAGGAAGATCGGCGATCAGGAACACAAGTAAAGCTGGCCTACAAAAGGCACCCTCCAAACAACCCCAGGTAAAATGAGCGACACACAAACAAACAAGAGTCTTCTGTTAGTTTAGTCCAACCATGAATGGTTTGTGTATGTGAGAGGGAAGCACACCGACTTGAAAATAGTCATCCAGTTTTTTTAGAGAGGTTTTACGGCGCTCGCAACTGCATAAGGTCATATGTTACTCGACAAACCACAAGCCAGGACTGACCTCCCCCATGGACGTGCGGACAGTGGCATCGTACTGCAGACACAGGTCCTCCAGGGACTTGACTAGTCGTCGCTGCATGTAGCCCGTCTCAGCTGTCTTGACTGCTGTGTCCACCAGACCCTCACGTCCGGCCATGGTGTGGAAGAAAAACTCGGTCGGAGTCAGACCTGGGGGGTAGGGCATGGGAGGGAGGGGGTTATGAGGTTAGTTACCTTTTTTTCTTAGTTTTAATCAAGAGATGCACATCCACACAACAATTTTCATTTAGTGCAAGGAAAGAGAAAGACGAATAGACAGAAAAAAAGAGGCAGGAAGAACAGATGTAGGACCTACATTTTAACAAACCTTGGCTCCAGAACAGCAAATTTTAACAAGAGACAGAAAAACACGGACATCTACTTCTCTACTGTATCTTTCTTGACCAGAACTCAAAACAAAATATTTTTAAATCGTCGACTTATGGCAATACACGATTATTATGGACCATTATAAAAATGAAGAGCATTTAGTATTTAGTTACTTGAATAGAATTCAAAATATGTTTTAAAAATGAGAGACTTCTGGCTATGCATTATCGATATAGACCATTACTTACTATTGTTTTTATCTCAGGCAAACGAGGCAGGGGTAGGCCCAGAGCAACCTACTTAGGGAACCTTAACAAATGTGTAAAGGGGAGAGATCAGGGAAACATAGCTTTTTTAAGAGCATCCTGGCAAAGCAATGAATAGAGAACCATGATTGCCGATGTCTGCGGCAGATCTGGCACTGGACGGTGATGATGATTCTTATCTCATTTTCTTTTGATACGGTATCAACACAGCAACACAATAAGGTCATATAAGAGCAGAAGATTAGAAGTGTTACTAATGAGTAACAAATACAAAAAGAAGGAGGAGAGATAAGGACGACAGATGTTTGATAGGAAAGGAGCAAACAACACCAGAGCACCCATCAACCACACACTGGAAAGAAATTGAAAAAACCTGTAGGAAATTCATATCTCATTATCTTTCTATATAGAGCCCACACAAGTTCCAGCGATCACCACTCACCCGTGTAGAAACTGTTGGAGACGAAGCCTCTGGCCGCCGGGTCCTTGGAGAAGCGCGGGAAGTGTGGCAGAGCCCGGTCCTCGAACCCGTTGGGCACGCGCTTACCGCTGATGGCCTGTACGGGAACCAGAGTAAAAGGGAACAGTGAGTCCAATTCACTTCACAATAATAATAATAATAACATTAACAAATTACATTTATATAGCATATTACCACTAAAAAAAATGTGCTCAGTGCACTTTACAATATAGAAAGAACATAATTCCAATAGTGATCTTTTTAACTCCGCACTACCACAAAGATTAGACAAATATAAGAAAAAAATTTTCAGTCTGAATATCTGTTAGCTATAAGTGTGTATCACTACGTGCATGTTCATTATATACTGGTTTCACAACGCACGTGATTGCTATGAGCATGTTCACTATGTGCACGTTAGCTATGTGTGCTTTCAATACGTGCATGTTCACTGTATATACTTGTTTCACTATGTGTGTGTTTGCTATATACTTGTTTCACTACGTGCGTGTTTGCTGTGTGCATGTTCGTTATGTGTGTGTTCGCTATATACTTGTTTCACTACGTGCGCGTTTGCTGTATGCATGTTCGTTATGTGTGTGTTCGCTATATACTTGTTTCACTATGTGCGGGTTTACTATGTGCATGTCTGTTATGTGCCTGTTCGCTATATACAGTATTACATGGCTAGCTCGAATTCGTCGGGTAAGACCTTGGTAGTTGGAGGGATCTGCAGTTCGAGGGATACCTTAAAAAATTTTTTTTGTTTTGTTAAAAGGGACTGCAGCCACAGTTCAACGGATGCGTGATTTCGAGTCCTCTGTGTTCGACCTATCCCTGTTATACTATAACTTGTTTCACTATGTGCGCTTTCACTCTGCGTCTACAAGTCTAGTTTTAGTAAGAGTTTTACAGCACTTGCAACACAAAAAGGTCATATAAGTGCCGACGATTAGAGGTATTACAAGAAAGAGTAACAAGCACAAAAAGAAGGAGAGATCAAGACGATAGACGTTTGATAGGAAAGAAGAAGCAAACGGTGACACCAGAGCAACCGCCAACCACCCACGCCTACTAGTCTGTAGCCAACTGACCTGCTGGCCCACACAAGCGATCATCTGCGAGATGTTGATGAACGATCCCTTGGAGCCACAGACGGCCATGTTGAGAGGGCTGTTGGTCTTGTGCAGCTCTTCCAGGCAAGCTTTGCCTGCGTGGTCTCGGATCACGGACAGCTCTGGCGACGGATGGTTTAGTAAGTTTTAATAAGGGTTTAGGGGTTTTTTTTTCGTAACAGTTTTACGGCACTTGCAACACAATAAGGTCATATAAGAGCCAAAGATTAGACGTGTTACTGTAACAAATACAAAAAAGAAAGAGGAGAGATCAGGACGATAGATGTCTGATAGGAAAGAATGAGCAAACCACACCAGAGCACCCGCTGACCACCCACAATGGGAGTTTTTAGATTTAGTAAGTGTTTTACAGCACTTGCAACACAATAAGGTCATAAAAGTGCCGAAGATTAGAAGTGTTACTAATGAGTAACAAACACAAAAAAGAAGGAGGAGAGATCAGGACGATAGAGGTTTCATAGGAAAGAAGTGGCAAACTACACCAGAACACCCATCAATCACCCACTGGAAAGAAAAGAGAAAAAACCTGTCGGAAATACACTGCAGGAGCTCTGGTCATGAAGAGATCCCGAGATCCCACACAAGCCGTCAAACAGAGCTGTATGACAGCATAGATTTACCACCTCACAACAGACCTGCCATGTCATGATGAGGAGAGACGACATGCACAGAGACAATTTATGTGACAAAAAGAAATATTGGTCTACAAACACACACGCACACACAATAAATAACACATGTCACATGTAAGCACTTTAGAATAAGGGAAAAGTTGCTTGCATTTTAAAGTACAGCTTTTTTAAAAATACACAAATACCTCGAAACAAAAATGCAAAACACCTTTAATTAAGGTTACATAACAAGGTACACGCTTTTAAAATCTTTAAAGCAAAAAAGCACTCACTTTAGAAATTAATTTTTTTTTAAAATAAAAGTGCCTGTGAGCGTGTCAACAAGACATTTCTGTACACACCCTTCAGGATCTTGGCCTCAAGCGTCTCCTCCTCCGTGCAGCCAGGCTGAGGCTGTAGCCTGCCGTCTTCAAGGTCACGAATGTAATTGTCGCAGGCGTCATAGCCTTTCTTCAGCAGCCCCTGCTTCTTCCGAATCAAACCTGAACAACAAAAAGAGGAAGAGACTTGGGACTCAACTCTGGGAACTTTTAAGTCGCTTCTCATACAACTAAGGTAAATTTATGAAGCAGACACTCCACAATCATATTCAAATAAGAATTTGAACCTCCGTCTTTCACACATTTTTGTACAATGGGCATATTATCACCTTACGGGAGTGATAGAACAAAGCCTATCCACACTGCTTGCTGTTATGGAAAGTGTACAACAATATTTGAACACACTTTTAGATTATCCCCCCCCCCCACCAGGGCAATGCTACTGACTGAAGTTGTCTTTAGACCATTCCCAAAGGGGGAATATTAACATGTTCTTACGCACAGTAGAATTATAAATGGGCTGATTTATCAATATCATGCTCATACTCATACTGTGCCAGAACAACATAAGGGGAACTGCTGCTTACAATCATCATTTTTCCTCTACTTTTTTTGTATGCTTGTCACTGTCTTGTGAACTGCTGTTTCCAGGGTGCCTTGACAGTCAAAGCAGACTTTGTGCAATTGAGGCTAGAGAGGTGAGCAGAGTACGCCTAATTCCCCGTTTGGACTTCCCTGTTGACATACACCCCTTGGCGCTCATATGCTGTTGCAAGCGGCATAAAACCTTACTAAAACAAAACAAACAACTCTAAGGTTATTTTGGCTCAGTACACTTATTTTCACAATTGTTTTGACGGGGTACACGGGTAAAATTTCAAGTTTTAATTCTTTATAGATTCAGATCCTTGAGCCAAAAACTTATGTAATACGTGCATTAAAGCCAAGGGAAACAAGCTCCAGTTTTTTGGTTTTAGTGAGAGTTTTATGGCATTTGCAACACAATAAGGTTATATAATTGCCAGAGATTAGAGGAGTTACAAGAGAGTAGCAAACACAAAAAAAGGAGGTGAGATCAGGGCAATACATGTTTGATAGGAAAGAAGGAGCAAACCACACCAGACCACCTACCAGCCAACCACCCACAATTAACTCCATGATTATCAACTCCATATTCATTCCACTGTCTTCTACTCAAGCGTTCAGAGCTTGTACTGGTATGGAATAGAGCGCTATATAAATGCAATCGGTTATTATTATTATTATAATTACTAAGCAGCCTGTCCGTCCAGTCCAACGAACTCACCTTCCCCAGGAGTGACATCACCGATACCGATGGAAAACCCGTGGTGGGAGAGAAAGGCGGGGCAGAGGCGGGCCAGGCGAGAGAGAGCGTCAGCCCCCGCCTCCTCCCCGTAGTCGCGGAGGATGAGGTAGAAGATGGTCTTCTTGGAGCCCGAGCCCAGTGTGGCCTTGTCCACGTAGCCGCACATGATCTCGCTGTTGTGGATGACCACGAACGAGTCGTTGCTGCACAGGTCCTCGTTCTGGGAATAGTTCTTGCCCTTGGTCCGCAGATTCACCTGGCATGGAGAAAAGGGGACGAGTGAGTGACCAGAGGGGATAGGACAATATGTGTTATGACGCGGTGGAATCTTTTAGTAAGAGTTTTATGGCACTTGCAACACAATAAGGTCATATAAATGCCAAAGATTAGGTGTTACAAGAGAGTAACAAACACAAAAAAGGAGGGGAGATAATGAAGATAGATGTTTGATAGGACAGAAAAAGCAAACTACACTAGAGCACCCGCCAACCACCCACCACTAATATCATCTCATCCACTGTAGTTCCCCTCCGAGACATACAACCACACCAGTTCCCTCAGACATACAACCACACATCCACAGCAGTTCCCTCAGACATACAACCACACATCCACTAAAGCATAGAACCACACCAAAGTGTCTCCTACCTTCACAGGGCACTCCTTGTTGGGCCTCATGAGCAGCGAGAAGACCTGTTTGCCCGTCCACAGCTTGCAAGGCTTCCAGATGGCTGGAGGGGGCAGGTCGATCTTCATGCCTTTGTCTTTGCCCACCAGCATGGAGCAGATGAGCTGACATGCTCGGCTCCGGTCAAAGAAAATATCTTTCTGGGTCATCAGGTAGGCACCTTCAACAGACAGGAGAAAGGAAAACAAAAGTTAACTTTGTTTTGGAAAGTGTTTTACAGCGCTCACAACTGCATAATGTCGTATGAGCGGGCGGGACACATAAAACATACATTCTGAGTTGGTAGAAAACTTTGAATTTTGCATAGTCTCATCTGTTCCCTTCCAGTATCGAAATGTCCATCCAGATCTTGAGCCATATTTCAGAGTAAAACAGGCCATCTTGGAATGACTTGAAAGGAAAGGGAGGTACCTTACAGCTCCGAGTTCAGGTCTTCCCCCCCCCCCCCAAAAAAAAATGTTCGGTAGCCAGTTCAACAGCCTAAGCACTAGGCCAGGGACATCACACTATTAGAACACTTTGCCTCTTGTCAACCATGTCAATCTGTGAGCAACTAGAGTACTTACAGCCAATTCAGCAGTATTTCAGAAAAAGAGGCATGCATTCTAAAAAGTGACGTAGTATCTTTGTAATGAGGTTTAGATAAAAGCCTAAGTTTAAAGGTAAAGAGAACAAATATTATGAAAATTAAAAGTTCAATTAGGTTCGTTGCTATATAGAAAAAATGCGCAAATTCCTTACCCCCCTGAAACTGAGAATATACGCTCTTGGCACGGTGGGAAGTACAAGCGCTGCTGAAAATATACGCACGCGCAAGTAGCTGCAGGGATGCCAAATGATTTTTTTTTTTTTTTTAAACTGAAAATGAGTGGAGCATCATATCTCACCTAAACCGAACCTTGTAAAGCTTTTAAATGAGCAAACAAAAACATATTCTCTCTTACCTCTCCCCTTTCCTTTGCAAGTGAAAAAAAACAGGAAAACCCGGACATTTGGCATCCCTGTACCTGAAAAGGGTCAAACATTGCTATCTACAGCCAGGTCGAAAGAACCGGAGCCACCATCTCACCTGTGATGAAGTCTTGGATGGCAGCGATGAGAGGCTCCCCATTCCGCGGCGTGGTGATGTTTGACTTGGACCCCATCAGAGTAATGGCCTCCGCCTTCGCTTCCTCCGTCTGGGGCAGGTGAAGGTTCATCTCGTCGCCGTCAAAGTCAGCGTTGAACGGACCGCAGCAACATTCGTTAAATCGGAACGTCCGATTCGGCATTACCTTCACAAAGCATAGGAAAAAAATAATAATTTGCTTTAACACTTTGCAGTCACAAAGCCAGCAGAACAAAATACCCTATCTGGTCACCCAGCCAGGAGAGTGACTGCAACGGACTTCTCGGGCATGTTACAAAACTGTGTCAAGTGACCACTGGAAGGGATATTTTTTTACCGTTGCATTATTGCAGCAAGTGACCACAAAGTGTTAAAGTTCACACAGAATCAGCAAAATAATTAGTTCATCGAGTTTGTTTGAGTAAAGAGAAGCAAGGTCATTTTGAGCTGGGAAAAAGTAAGACAGACAGACAGAAAAAACTGAGGGGAAAGTAAAGAAGTACGACCTACCAGTGGCGCCCTCCAACCACCCACAGTTCATAGAGTTTTTGCTTGCAAAGAAAAGGGAGGGTTGCACACAATATACCAAAAAATACAAGGATTACCAGAGACAAGGCTGAGCACACAAACTGTGCTGGTGAGTGAGTGAGTAAAAGTGAGAGGAGAGAGAGGGGGGGGGCAGAGAGAGAGAGAGAGAGAGAGAGAGAGAGAGAGAGAGAGAGAGAGAGAGAAAGAGAGAAAGAGAGTTGTGTTCAGTAGTGGAAGGTATCTTTTTGTACTGGTCAGCTGGAGAATCCATAGAAATCATTAAGCAATCTGTGGCAAAATGTCAGAAGAAAAGAAAGAGGCAGAGAAAGAGAGAGGAACAGAGAGACAGAGGAAGAGGGAGAGAAAGAGAGAAGAGAGAGAAAGAGAGAGGGGAGGGTGGGTGAGACAGAGATAGAAAAGAGAGCTAGAAAGAGAAACAGTTCCTCAAAGCTTTATCACACCTCCCCCCCCCCCTCACACATTATCCATGTCTCATCCTGTCATCTATCTAAAGTAGGCTACTTCAAATATGTATTGATCTACCAGTCCTTCGGACATCGGAATAGACATAACCGTCTTGAACATCTAGCTCTCACTGGCAAAATTGAAGGCAAACGAGGCAGGTGTTGGCCAAGAGCAACCTACTTAGGGACCTAAACCAATTGGTAACAGGAAAAGATCAGGGAAACGTAGCTTTTTTAAGAGCATCCGAGCAAAGGATTTAATGGAGAACCATGATCGCTGATGTCTGTCGCAGATCTGGCACTGGATGATGATAAAAAATGATGATTGATCTACCTCTGCCTCTTTTTGTCTTTCATTTTTCCTATAGTGAAAGGAAGTGCTCATATGACCTTAAGCAGTTGTGAGCGCCGTAAAACTCCTACAAAAAACGTAGTGAAAGAAATATGATCCAAGAAATATCTCCTTTCTCCCTCACACCCCCCCTCCCCCAAAAAAACAACCCATGTGAGCTGACCTTGGCGTAGAAGGCCTGGATGCTGAGCTTGTGCAGCGAGGGTTGTCTGTTGAAGAGAACCACGTCCCCGTCCACCATGTGCCTCTCCACAATGTCGCCGTACCGCAGACTGTTGGCGATGTGGCTCCTCTTGCCGTAGCGCAGGAACTTACGCTCTCCAGTGGACTTGATCTGAGAGACAAGAGAGAAACAGCAGATGGATAGTTTATAGAAAAAGAGAGAGTGAAACGCTCTCAGCTAAAGGGATTTGAAAACAACAACAATAACATAGAAAAAAAGTTTCACTCTTATATGCCGAAGTATCTGGTTCGATGTCAGACTTATGTGTATGTTGGTGGTGATTATGTTTGGGCGTTTTACTCCGAGAGGATGGCATTGACACAGAGAGAGAGACAGTAAGATAGGAATCCAAGTGTGAGACAGAAAGAAAGAGAGAGTAGGAATCCGAGCTTAAGACAGAAAGAAAGAGAGTGAGACAGAGCGAGAGAGAGAGAGAGAGAGAGAGAGATAAAGACAGACAAACAGACAGACAGACAGAGAGAGGCAGTCGAGGGGAGTGAAGACACAAATACCTTGATGAAATTCGCCCCGGGATGAACATCACAGCCGTTGAGGACAAGGCTCTGCAGGAATGCCAGATTGGCCGGACATACTCGCTCAGGGTAGGTCATCACTTTGGCAACGTGGATGGGCACAGCAACCTGGCAACACAGACAAAGTGAGTTAGCAAGTGTATGGCGTTTTTTAAATTTCTTTTTGGTAAATATATTTTACGGAGATCGCAACTGCATAAGGTTATATGAGTGCGCAGGACACATTAAACATTTTCAGTTGGTAGGAAATTTGGAATTTTGCTCCGGTGGCAGCTGAAGCCTAATCTTATCGAGAGCAGACCACCAAGGGACCTTTAAAGTGCGCAATTTGCACACAGGACCTAGGAGATTTTTCACCCTTGTTCCAGAAGCTTAGGTGTAGATCTTTCCTACCAGAAGATCAGGGGTGTGGCTGAAAGACAACAGTAAGAAGGAGCCAGGGAGTAGCAGTAGAAAGGCTGAAGAAAGAGTCAGGGGCCCAGAGGAGGGGGCAAAGGAGGAGATGATGGGGTGGGAGCAGAAAGTGGAGACGAAAGCTGATGACAGAACATGGCTAGAGAGCAGGAAAGGAGGTGAAAAGAGACAATTTTAGAGAAGAAAATGTTTCTGTCGCTTCTCGGATTCAAACCAGGGACCTTTGAATGAGAGGCAAACACCTTAACCCGTCCCCTGTATGGGTTTAACGCCCCTTTCAATACCAATAGGTTATTTAAAAGGCAGGAACTCTCATTTGAATATCCGTCCCTGAAAGGATTGATATAAAAGGATTGAAAGCTTTGAAAAGCACAAAACGACCTGAGATTCAAGAATGCCCAGTCTGGGATTCGAGCCAGGGCAATCAGCTTTGATGGACTTTTTTTTTGGTTAGAGTTTTAGTTTTAGTAAGAGTTATACGACACTTGCAACACAATAAGGTCATATAAGTTCCGAAGAATAGAGGTGTTACAAGAAAGTAACACACACAAAAAAGGAGGAGAGACAAGGACGATAGATGTTTGATAGGAAAGAAGGAGCAAACCACACCAGAGCACCCGTCAACCACCCACTTCGATGGGACACAAGTTGATGAACCTCATGGGAAAATTTCCTAACCCTGCAGTTGTTGGTGATAGATGTAGAGAAAAAGTCTGCATATAGTCAACACAAGAGAACAGACAGAGGGAGGGAAGGGAGGGGGGGGAGGGAAAGGACAGGGAGAGAGAGAGAGTGAAAGGGAGGGGGGGAGAGAGAGAGAGAGAGAAAGAGAGAGAGAGAGAGCAAGAGATCTCTACCTGCACCGACCTGATCAATACGCATGTTAGGGTCCGGGGATATAACGGTGCGACCCGAAAAGTCCACTCTCTTGCCCGACAGGTTGCCGCGGAAACGACCCTGTTTGCCCTTTAACCTCTGCACAAAGCCGCGCGTCTTTTTCTTTGGCTGCATACTGAGTGGGATCCCCGAAGTCTCTGAGTTGTACAGCAGCGCCACCTGGGGGTGAGTAAAAAACCAGGAAGCAAAAGTCAACGGAATAGTCAGAGGACACCAAGAAAACAACATGTCAGTGGTGAGAAAAAATTTGGGGTTTTTTTATTTTTTTGTTGAGATATAGTATGGTTTCACGGTGCTCGCAACAGCATAAGGTCATATGAGCGTCAAGGGGTGGTTGTCAACAGAGCTTGAGAGTCTGAAAACTAAAAATTTACATTTTTGGCGCCTTTAATCAACGCTTTCCCAAAAAATTGACAAAGAAATGTGTTCTTTCATGGGCATGAAAGGGGTCGAGCCAAACAACGAAAATTCGATAGAAATTCACAAACCTGCGGAAAAATATCAGTTTCTCTACTTTGATTTTGATTATTTTGACAAGTGTCTGATTTCCCCACGCTGTCTCACAAATGACTGTCTTACACAGGTGGCCGTTACAGCATGCCCAACTGTACTCACATGAAGCTGTACATAGTCCCAGTCCTCCATGTACATCTGCACCTTGGCCCCGGTGGCGCGCAGCCGCTGAATGATCTCGTTCACCATCATGATCTCCGTCAGCTTCATTGTGACGTCGTCTTCATTGGTGCCAGACTACCACAAAATAAAAAAAGACTTCGGTTAGTTTTAGTAACGTTTTGCGGCGCTCGCAACTGTATAAGGTCATATGAGCGCAAAGGAATGGATGTCAACAGAGAAGTCCAAACAGGGAATCAGGCTTACTCTGCTCACCTTTCTAGACTCAACAGCACAAAGCCTGCTTCGACTACCAAGGCACCCTGGGAATTAGCAGTTCACAAGAGAGTGACAGACATGCAAAAGAAGAAGATGAAAAATGATGATAGTAAGGATGAGGAAATAAAAAGCAGCAGTTACCCCTATGCTGTTCCAGCACAGTATAAGTATGACATGCCATGACAAGAAATTATACCAAGAAAAGCAATTCTTGAAAGAAAGAAAAAAGAAAAGAAAAAGGCATTGTTTATGGTTATTCTTCAAAACATTCAAAGCTTGCAACATCATGAGCTACAACCCGCTCTGTAAAACATTCTCTCTCTGTTTCTGTAGCACTGTGTGTTCAGTAACCTCACTGCAGTTGGTACAAATGAATTTCTATATCTGTCTGTTCTTGCTTTTTTGGAAATTTATTGTTTACTGCGAGTCGACAATTGAAATTCAAATGTCAGTGGGCAGCTAAGGTCACTTAGCGTTATTTCCGCCTTTTTTAGACCAGGATATCCTACAAAGTACTGTGTGTCCACTGCTGGCCCATCACACAACTATTGCCATGAACAGCTATACCCTAGATCAGGACATCTATTTCTGACAGAAAATTGTCTTTAAAAATGCTAGAAACTGTGGAACGCACTTTAAAAATTCATGATAACATTACTCTGACACTCGGATCCTCAAAAACAAAACCATCCATGCCCTTCACACGTCTGAAAATAAGGAATTTCCCTCACCTTTAAATCCGAGACCACAGACGGCCTGATGCAGATGGGAGGGACAAAAAGCCTTGTGATGATCAGATCCTCCGGTCTGCTCACCTCGGGATTCATCAACAACAGAGGGATGTCTGACTCCTGAATTCTTTTGAAGAGTTCGTGAACAATAACGGGATTGAGCACCTCGTAGTTTTTGCTCATCAGACTAGACAACTCTGAGTTGCACTTTGCTGCAAAGTCAAAGGCCTCCACTCTTTCTTTGAGAATACCTTCCGATTTCCTGCCCTGATGCGACTGGTCGTGAGCAATGCGAAATAAGCCCACTTTCTTCACCTGTTGAATGTGCCATTATTTAAAAATTTACAAGAAATATAAATATTGTCTGTGAAGTCATGCAAATTTTAGTTTTCATGAGCGCATCACATGTATCACGTTTCAAAATAGTTCTTTTCAATAAGGGTAATGAACATAAATAATGTACAAGTCCTTTTTTTTTTTATCTCCTGTTAATCCCCAGTAACAGTAAACTGAAGGTAGACAACTGACATACAACTGAGTGTGAGTTGGGGGGTTTTTCATCCTCGTATCTACCAAAAAAGGAAATAAGTACAAACACTAACAACAGCAGGACCATTTACATTCTAAACATGGATATAAAGCAATGATGGAACATTTTACTGTCTAGCTTGAGACATTTATTTAAGAAAATAACAAAAAACCTACCATTCCATTGTGGGTTCCACATATAGGGCAAGTTTTAACTTTTCTACAAGCATCGTAAATCTGTTTTCTTAGAGACTTCTTCTGTAGATAAGACAAATTTGGTCTTTTCAAACTTCGATGGTAGTTTTCTTTCTGCTGGTCTGACAACAAAATGGCGCTGCACGACTTGCAGATCATCTGTAGAAGTGTGACAGTGGTGCGGAAATGCCCCACATGGTAAACTGGAAGCTCCAGGTCAATATAGCTGAAGAACAAATTGAGAAAAAACAAAATACTTTAGAGCATTAAATCATTCGCTACGTATTAATGATACATTGATACATTTTGTTTTATAAAAGTACATAAGACTGATGTCTGGGCAATAACTTGGGCATCGTGTTTCAAAACTGAATCAAAACTTAGGATTTTCAGTGGAAACCCTTGACCCGCAAGTCAAAGTTATATTATAACCTTTATTTTAACATGGATATAATGTTGATTGGAATACCACCTAAGCTAGAATTATAGGTCAGTTCTCGAGCCGTCAGAGGCAGCTTGTCGAAGTGAAGTCATTTTAGCCGCGCTGCTGCCTACGGTTCGGCGTAGCGAATGAGTTAAGGAACAAACAAGAGAAAAAGAGGCTATGTGACAAACATTCTTTGCAAAACAAGCCTGAGCTCAGCACGTCAACGAGGCTTGGGTTTGGGTTTTTTCCCCCTGTTTGTCTTCTGACAGCGCAATGCTAAGCCACATGAAGCAGTATAGCTCTTTCATTGAAGGGTCTGAGAGCTGGCTCCTCTTGTCTGTACAATGGTGCGATATCACGTATCATGTTTCATAATATATATCAATTATCTATTGAGACAAGCCAAACCCAATTGCTGCAGCGTAGAGTAAACAAAAACCCACCGGCAGTGCAAATTGCACACCGAAGCATTGATCAATTGTAACTTCTTTTTTGTGTTTCAACTTCAATCTAATTATAAAGATAATGTCATAGAGCCCCTTGAAACTTTGCAGTCAATCACAGAAGGGTTCAAAATAAAACATCGTAACTTTTTTCGATTCAATCGAACACTGAACTCTTAAGTACTTCTTTTCAAAGTCAAGCACATAATCCATTAATGTTATGTATCCACTGACTTTCAGAAGAAAATAAAAAATACCGAAATCTACTCTGCTGTGTCTTTTCATAATAGAATCATAATTTTAAAATACCCACATTGTTTTTTTAACTGTGTGCATGCATTTATTACGAATGCAATTGTGTAAACCAAAATTCTGAACACAGATCAGTTGCATTCTATTAATTAAAAGTAGAACGAAAAAACAAAAAATACCAACAAATACACATAAACTAACATTGAATATAAAAAAACAAGAATTGGAGACTTCAAAAGCATCAATAAGAATTTAGAAAAAGAAGAACAGTTGGGTTGGGTTTTTTTTGTTTTTTTTTAGTGAAAGTTTTACAGCTGTAACACAATTACATCATAAAAGTGCTGAAGATCAGATCTGCTACAGGAGTGAAAAAAAACACCAAAAATAAAGAAAAGATAAAGACCATAAAAAATTACATGTCTGACAGGAAAGAAGGAGCAAACCACACTAGAGCACTCGTCAACCACCCACAAAAAAAAAGAATAGGACTTGTAAACAACAAGCAGAAAACAATGAAAGTGTCTCGTTTTCTCTCTCTCTCTCTGGAACAATTTCTATTGGTCAGCCTACCCAAAGTGTCCCGTGCATTCAGCCAGCACCTTGCCGCACGTGTCACAATTGTTGTCTTTCTCGCTCGTGCCCATACGGTGATCCAGCACCCCATTGGGACAAGGCTTGTTCTTTGCATCTTGACTACAATAAAAAGGAATACAAATATTGGTAAAAAAAAATGTCGTATAAGGTCATGTATAGTATATTTTGTCCAAAACATGTCTATCTATTTCTTAAACTATTTCCATAATGAACTCACACTGTGGCGTTAAGGGATTTCTGGATGGTTACAATATCAATTGAATACGATCTTCATTCTGACAGGCTCTCTGTCTGTCTCCCTCCTTGAATCAAACAAACAAGTCCAGTGAGAGTAGACAGTTCTGCTTAAGAAATGATAGAAAATTATCCTTTCAACAGAGCTTGCAATTCTACTTAAACATAAACATAAAAGAGAAAAAATAAAACAGAGAGCTTTTTTCTGCATCATGTTGAAAACTTAGCTTTTCTTCACATTGATTAAAAACATTTCAAGTCCCTACATTCCTGATTATAGGCCTACATTTACTAACAGCGACAGCAAATTTTCTGTAGGTTATGCCACCAAGCGACCTTGCAAGGCAATTTTTGCTGTGTAGGACAAACAAAGATTGACAAAGACATGATTGTCATTTTATAATGAAATTATACTATATATATGAAATGACTATAAATAAGGGCCGTACTAATAAAAAGACCACACTGTGCAGCTGCTGCACCCTTGCATTTCCAAACATTATTGAGCAGCAGAACAAACAAACAAACGAACAAACAAACAAAATAAGACAACAATCAAATCTTTGAATGGGGACATCAGTTCTATGAGATCTTATCATATGCAATTAAATTAGATGTATTTACAGACTCCTAGCAACTACACCAGTGCAACATAATAATTCAATACATCGAAATGTGGCTAAACTTCAGGCTAAAAAAGGACACAGATTTCGCCAGGCAATGCGTAAGTGTGTCTGTGATGAAAGGTGGGATGGAAACATGAACTGACATCAGATAGCTTCAGATGTTCTCTTAATAAGACCACTTACCTGTAGAGAGTTTTATTCACTACATGCAGATGACTAGCCCTCTGCATCTCTTCAGGGCTCATAGAACCAAAAGTCACATGACTGATCTTCTTGGCAAGATCAGTCTCCCGAAACTGCTCTTTGACCATGGTGGACAGGACTTTTTTTTACCTCACCACAACTTTAGATTTTAGCAGTTTATTTTACAAATCTGGAAAATAAAAACAGAACAACAGGGAATATAATTGCTATAATTATTTCACAAAAGCCTACAAAAGTAAAAATAGGCTACACATTAATGATTTAATGTAGGTTTAATTTTACAATCTAATTTGACTGCAATTTCAAGAATTAAGGTCTTACTAACAACAGATAAGTATACTTGAAAGTAACTTTCTAATATTAGACATATTATACACAGCACAGAGTAGTATAGTACCGAAATGTCTGAATTTAGCCACAGCGAGCAGTGCACTGGAAACGTGTGGTCGTGTGTTTTCCCTGTGAATACTGTGAGGGTGTGTCAATTGATGATGAAAATAACACTCTACCTTTTATAGTTTTCTATTTATAAAGTGATACGAATACATAAATAACCCTCTCTCATTTAAGCTGATAAGATTATATTACGTGTAGTTACTCGCATTCGAATAACCTTCCAGACGCTCTTGCTGATATCGGGTTCGAAAGGGAGTAATATAGGGTCTGAATGTTCTTGTGCTCTCAAATTGTTCTTTTTACCTGCACAATAGTATTCAAAACTATAAAATAAGCTTATTTTATCAGGTAATATCATTTTATAAAATCAAGCTCATTTGAAAGATTTGGTATCGAGAAAAATGGAAGTCTTGTTTCCTGGCTATTCCTTTCGAAGCGAAGCTCCTCATGTCAAAGTGAGTCAATTTGTTCTAACTTCATTGGACGAACATCTAGAGCTACCAAATTGGTGTGTTTTGAATGAGATGCATGCCTCGGTTACAAACCAACGCAGACGGTTCCAGAAGTAGGCCACAAACACACAAACTCAAGCAGACCGATGCACACGCACACACACTTGAGCAGAGGGAATACGGCACTTGGTCATCACGCAGACGATGCTCTGCGCGCTGGTGCTGAGCTAGGGCCAGACTGACACGGAACCGGACAGAAGGCAAGGTGTCGAAATACGCTTATTACAGAACATAAACCAGACAAAACTGCTCGACCTTGGCAGAAATATATTTTGCAATTAGTCACCCAGCAAAAACTAAAATCCTTCATGTAAAAAAAACGAAGTGGCTAGCCGCACTTAAGTACGGCTAGACTGCCAGTCTAGCCGTACTTAGATCTAGGTTTGGCCCAATCGACTCAAGCCTGTTAAATAAACAGGTCTAATTTTAGATCTAGATCTAGTGATTATTCAGGTTCAAATACATGCAAGTCAGTAAGGCACCTTCTGGTTTTGTCTGAAATACAAATACTTTTGGCATTGCAAACTAAAAATTTCATTTACAATTCAGCCATCAATATTAAGTACGGCTAGCCTGACAGTCTAGCCGTCCTTAAGTACGGCTAGCCTGGCTGTCTACCCGTACTTAAGTACGGCTAGACAAGAAGTCTAGCCGTACTTAAGTACGACTAGACTGCCAGTCTAGCCGTACTTATCTTAGGCCCTATTAACATTAGAAAACAGGAGGTTTAAAATACATACACTGTCATTAAGGCACCTGGTTTCGTCTCAAATACAAATACTTTAGGTCCTGCACAATAAAAATGTATATTTACAATTCAGTAGACCTATTTTTTGCAAATGGTCAGTCTAGCCATCATATTAAGAATAAGTACGGCTAGACTGCGAGTCTAGCCGTACTTGCTAGACTGCCAGTCTAGCCGTCATTAAGTACGGCTAGCCTCTTCCTAAAAAAAAAGGCCGCCTCTATTTCTCCGAACGTTCGGGAAAATAAACTTTAACTCTATTTCTCCGAACAGTTTCCGTTCTCGAGATTTGTTGATAATAAGCGAATGGAATGGCCCGTGTGTGTGTTTGTGTATATGTGAGTGAGTGTGTGTGTGTGTGTGTGTGTGTGTGTGTGAGTGGGCATGTGTGTGTATGTGTGTGTCTGTGTGTGTGTGGGGGGGAGGGGGGGGGGGGGCGTGGAGGGGATTTTTTTTTTACATGTAGTTTTGGCTGGGTGACTAAATGCAAAATAGGTTACTGCCAAGGTCGAACAGTCTTGTTTTCTCACAGTACCTTTTGAAGGTATTTTCAAATGAAGTAAGTATACATGTAGTCCGGGAACGTTGCCCCAACCACAACTGAAGTATCTGAATATTCAGACATTTAAAAATCTCTAGCTCTAGAAATTGAATTTGATGCAAAAAATGCTTCTTCCCAGTCCTCGCAGAATGGCAGAATGAAAGGATGACGCCTGAATCTCGCAAATAACCAAAAAAATCTCGAGGTCGGAAACCGTTCGGAGAAATAAGAGTTCAGCTTTATTTTCCCGAACGTTCAGAGAAATAGTCACTTCAAAAAAAAAAATCCCTACACGCCCCCACGCCCCCCGTTCACACACACTAACACACACACTCACACACACGCGCACACATGGGCCACTCCATTCGCTTATTATCAACAAATCTCGAGAATGGAAACAGTTCGGAAAAATAAAGTTCAAGTTTTTTTTAAGGTACAGTCAGGGGAGGGGTGGGGATGAAGGCAACACCGGATGACAAAAACTGAACTTAGAGTTCTGAACTCTGAACTGCCCCATACGGTGCCGTGTGCGTGACACTGAGACTACGTGCCCGGTTCGGTTGCAAGTTACCGTGTACATAGATACTGAGGCTACATGCGTCACACAAAATGACCGCCTTACCTAAAAATAGTTTGCGTCCCTCTACGTTAAATAATCGCATGGCCGTCGTTATTCAGACTCGAGTCCGAATAACATTTTTTCATATTCGGACTCGAGTCCGAATAAAAAAAATTCTTATTCGGACTCGAGTCCGAATATGAAAAAATGTTATTCGGACTCGGGTCCGGGAAAAAAAGGAAGTGTCTTCGTTCTATAGATATAACGTTCAGTGCTTCCAATTTCCTCCATTTTTTAGTTTCCCCCACACCTTTTCTGCCGATCCGATGCCCGCCGCCTCATTGATATGCCCCCCCCCCCTTTCCCTCATGTTTCCCACTTTCTTTGTTGTAGAAAAAGGTAAAATTGAAGATAAGCAGACCACCTGACACTTGCATATTAGTGCTCCCCCACCCCCCTCCCCGACACGCACACAGCCACACGTGTGCAGGCCGCCCATCCGACCCCGACACACGCTAACGAGCCATCTTTAATTGCTTCTGATGACCTCTTGACAAATAAACATTTATTAGAAGCGCTATAACTTTTCAGGCCGGCCTCAAATTCATCATAAGATTAAAACTCGGATCCTGCACAAAACGCCTTTTTGCCCGAAGTGATCCCGGTCTCTACCCAGCCTGAGGCCTGAGGCGAGTCACGAGTGAGGCAGGACAGGAAGCCGGATTCACGAGTCACAGGAAGTCGGAAGTGATGTCATGCTGGACAAGAATCAGAGTCCGAATAACATTTTTTCATATTCGGACTCGAGTCCGAATAGTCACTTCGTAATCGCATATCATGTCCTTGTACTTGTATATAGACACTCCGTTCTGACAAAAGTAAAATCGAAAGTAAAAGACAAAAGAAGTTCCAGACCTACTGTCTGTCCAGGAAAAAAAAACGACTAAAATTCTAGATCTCTAGTTCTAGATATCTAGATCTAGATCTAGATCTAGATCTAAGATCTAAAAAGTCTAAATAGATCAACTCACACTCACTACTAACTAACTTGCTTGCATCATCAGAACGTCAGCCAACTGGCAACTTTTAACAAGTTGTGAACAACTTCAATACCGAGTCTAGATTTTGTGACTCGGTCATGCATTTGAAGAGAATTAAGCTGACGACTATGAAAAGGCAACTTAAATAAACAGAGCACTCACCACGTGAGCAAAACACAGACAGCACACTGTGTTGAGACCGTAACCTCATGAACGGTGGTAAACAGCTGCATTCCCAATGGAAGTCGCCATTTTGCTAGTTGGTACACATATGCCAGTAAAATGTTATTGTTCGAAGTCCTATTTAATTTACAACTTACTTTCAAAAATTCAAGTTCATAAGAGGAAAAACAGCTTGTAACTATTTTAGTGACAAATAGGAATCATTTTGTTGAAATTTTAGCCTAAAATAGTATTTAACAAATATTCTGTATTTTGTTGTATTGTCAAATGAATTTTTTGCTTTATGTCAATTTGGCATTATCCAAGCAACCAAGATCGTCTCGTGATTCGTCTTTTGTTTAGTTTTCAGTCAAATTTATTGTTCGCATTATATTTTTATTCCCTAATTTTTGAATCATGCTTATTGAACTGCAGTTTCGAAAGAAAAATAGAGAAAAAAAAAAGAAAAAAAAGGCGTAGCAGGATTTTAAAATTTTTTTTTTTTTGTTGTTGGGGGGTTTCAATTTGATGGGCTGGATTACTGTAAATATTGTTATTTATGCATTCAAAGGGCAGTAGCAGCTTGTTACCCTGTAGGCCTATTTGATAAAGGCCCTATTAAAGAAACGTGTTTAATTACACGATAAATATTTTTTTAATGGAATCCCCAGGGGAAAAGAAAGAGAGGGAGACCGGGATCTACCTGGGAGCTTGATCTAACTCCAGGCAGGTTGCATGTATTTGGGACACAGCTGGCTAAAGGTGGAGAAGATCGTCCAGAACAGAGAGCTTTTCTTGATGGCCTATGTATAAAATATTACCAACACCATCGTGAAAGAGGCGAAAGGAGAAGATTATGAAGACATTTTTTTTCTTTTCCTTGGGGGGGGGGGGGGGGCTACACCCCCA